TCTCTCTCTCTCTCTCTCTCTCTCTCTCTCTCTCTCTCTCTCTCTCTCTCTCTCTCTCTCTCTCTCTCTCTCTGCCATGCAGCACACACAGAACGACAGCGGGTACAACCATGGCGGGCGGATGATGGCCATGCAATGGCATGCACACAGAAGTGCGGCAGGTACAACCATGACGGGCGGCCAATTTCCAAGGGGAAACTCCCTGAGGCGAGGCTGGAGCCTTCCAATTTCGAAAGTGGCCAATTTTGAAGTTGGGAGCTATTTCCTGAAATCTTTTTCTCGTCGTTCGCGCCAGGGGAAAAAATTGTGCCTAAGAAAAAAACAGCTCCGCCGGTCTGTATATTTTTTTGGAAGAGGGGGGCGAAGGTGGATATTACGTACGGTTACCTGGCGGAATTGCTTACCTGCCCATACCCATCTGATTTTTTTTTTCACCACCCTATAACGGTTGTACCCATGCTTTTTTTGTTCTTGGTCGCCCATACTTGCGTTTTTCCTTTTTCACCGCCAGTAGCCGCCCATGCCTGCCCGTGATCTCCACGCAGTGCAACCGTGCCTGCCTTGAAATCCACAAATAAAATTTATGCGTGTCCATACGGATGGCCCCCTCCGGAAGGGTACCTGTACCTGCCCATAACCTGCCGGTTACAGTTGGGTACGGTCGGGTACGGGCTACGGTTACCCAGTTGCCACCTTTGATCCATTGCCATCATGTTGCTGTAAAACAACACCTATGCCATATTGACTTGCGTCAGTGGTAACGACGAATGGCAGGGACGGATCAGCTACCTTAAGGATTGGATACTCTATCAGGGCCAGCTTCAATCTCTTCAGGGCAGCGGTGCAGTCCTTGTCCCACTTCCAAATTGCCTCTTTCTTTAGCAACCTGCGAAGGGGTGCAATGATGGTGGAGAAGTTCCTTACGAACTTCCTATAGTAATTAGCTAGGCCTAAGAACGACCGCAACTCTGTCAGTGTGCGAGGCGTTGGCCAATCCTTAATCGCAACACTTCTTTGCGTTGATCTTGAAGTTAGCCTCTCTAAGCTTCTCCAAGACCTGCCTCAAATGACCCTCATGCTCCTGGAGGGTCTTATTGAACACTAGAATATCATCTAGGTATACTACAACAAATCTATCTAACCACGGCCTAAACAAATCATTCATGCAGCGCTGGAAAGTCGTTAGCGCATTGATTAGTCCAAAGGGCATAACTATAAACTCATAGTGCCCATATCTAGTCTGGAACGCTGTCTTGTACTGATCATCAGGATGAACCTCTATCTGATGATAGCCGGACTTTAAATCTATCTGCGAAAAATACTTGCAGCCCTGCACCCGGTCTAACAGATCGTCTATACGGGGCAGTGGTTCTGCATTTTTCACTGTGATAGCATTAAGACCCCTATAGTCTATACACATTCTAAGCTCTCCCTCTTTCTTGGGGACAAAGAGAACAGGTGCTGCAAATGGAGATGAACTGGGCCTAATCCAACCCTTCTTGAGGAGCTCGTCTAATTGCTTACGTAGCTCTTCTAACTCCCTTGGGGACATTCTATAAATCGCTCCCTTAAGAGTCCTACTGCCAGGTTCTATCTCTATGCGATGCTGGATCGGTCGCGGCACTACTCCTGGAGGCGGCTTAACTAGGTTTGTATATTCTTCTAGCAGCTTGGCAATAGCAGGGTCTCCTCCTTAGGCTCCTCCTTAGGCTCAGTGAGTGGCCTCACGTAGGTTACAAAAACCTGCTCTTCTAACTACTCCTTTTTCACTAAACGCGCGAATGTGGGAGCACTGAGGCAGCAATGTGCCAGAGTGTTGTCTACCCCTGACACATGAAACAGACGTGCAGTCTTAACTTCACCTGTAGGACTAGGGAGCCTACACTCGTGCTCTCTCAAATGGAGTGTGGCCCCTACTGCCTCTCCCCAGTCCATTCCTAGGACCATATCAAAAGGAAGGCTATCCTCTACGAGGAGAGTCAGGGAATGGAGAACTTTCTCCACCATCCCATCTTTCTCTAGGCGAAAGTACGCCTGAACTCCCTCGACGTAATCCTCGATTCGCATAGTGCGATTGTCGGCGAGGATACTGACTATAGGGTCCTCTAATTTTTGGACTTTAAGATTCAACTTCAGCTTCTGCAGTGCTTTCCTACTTATATAGCTGCGGGTGGCCCCACTGTCTATAAGGGCCCCTACTCTACCTCTAAAAACCTCTTGTCCCTTCGCGTACTTCATCTTGGCCTAGGCAGGCATCCTCTCCTTCAATTCTTCTGCCACGCCTGTGAGGGAAGTGCCTAGGGAGTCTCCAACATAAGCAGTCTCTGGACAACGATCTAGGCACTGGCCAGCAACCTCTGCCATAGACACATGTGGTTTGGGAGTATCTATGTGGTGCGCGCACTCTTCTCCACATGGTCTAGGGACAGGGGCAGTTGCAACCCCTACCGACGGTTGCCTTTTGCTGCCTGTGCAGGAAACCGGGCTTCTCTATACTTAGGGCAGTATTTTATGATGTGGCCCGGATCACCGCAGTAAATGCACTGATCTTGGTCAATTCGCCTCTGCCACACAGTCTGTTCTAAGCCCAAATCCTCCCAGGGCCTGCACTGTGGCAGACCCGGATGCCATCCACTCTTCCTGTAAGGTGATCGATTAAAACTAGAGCGGTTTTGCGGGGGGACCTTGACCCCTGCCTCCCGCTTGGCGGTCTCCTCTACCACCAACCCCCTGATCGCCCTGTCCAGGACCACCAGAGGTCCGAACCCCTTGGCCATGGCCTCTACCTCTTCCTTGCGGCCTCCCTCCAGCCGCGACAGCAGCGTAAGTCCTCCCCTGACTAACGCTACTGTCCTCTTCCTCTAGGCCCCACTCTATTTGATCGTATGGGACCTCTTCCATACCACCCTCATCTAATATAAGGATTAGGTGATCCTTGCCCTTGACCTGACCCGAGATGGTACGACCCTTCCACTTCTTTCCCTTGTCAAGGTCCTTATGCCAGAAAGTGGAAACTGGCATGGAATGCACTTCAAATGCTACCACTTCCCTACTCAAAATATCGTAGGTCATGGCAGACTTCTTGCTCTTCTCAAAGAAGTGCCCGCGCAGAGGCTCGGGCATGGCATGATAGAACATGTTAACTACCTGGGTCTCTGTGACCCCATGATCAGGAACGGCGACCAACTCATCCATGACACCCTTGAGTGCCCTGGCGCTCCTCCACTGACGTGAATGGATGGTTTGCAGTTTATCAGAAGCTCTAACGCTTCGTGTGACATCTGCAAACCTTCGCGCAACAACTTAAAGAACTCACTGAGAGGGGTGAAGGCGGAATAGGCCACCATATCGTTATTGCAATTAGCAGCACGACGCAACGACCTGGCAAAGCTTGATGCTTCGTCTTTGAGGGCATGGAAAGCTATCAGGACATTTTCGTCAGGCGATATCTTTTGCAAATGCACGTAGGAGTTCACATTGGCCTTTCCTCCTTCTTCCCACTGTAGGAATCGGGAAACTTCACCTTAACGGGCTCCCTACGGGGACGAGCTTCCTCCTCTTTTGGTGTGGCCAACTTGGCACCGTCTATGACACCAGTGCAAAATCGCTCCGTGTTCTCTAATCTCGCCTGCACTTCTGAGCCCACGTACATAATCATCTCGCGTGCAAACTCTCTAAAGCCCAGTCGAATCGATCACACGGCTATGTCCTGGCCTCTCCCAAATTGATATTGCTCCTCCTGAACGTGTGCCAGGCATTCTATACTTTTCGCCATCAACTCCATTTCCCCTTTATCTCCGCCTGTGCCTCCAGCTGCACACTTAATTGTTTCACCTCCTCCAGCTCTTTCACTACCTTACTCGCCGCCTCCATTCTCTTCTTCCTCTCTCTAGTCAGATGCAGCTTCCATTCCAACTTTTTCTCATCCTCTATTGTCTGCCGTTTGAGGGGGTCTTCCTCAACATCCAACTCCTTCACAGCCGCTTCCTGTTCTTCCCTGGGTACATACAACATCGCCTCCTCCTCTTCTCCCAGAGACAGGTTAGCAACCCACTCAGAGCCCTTCTTCTCCAACCAGGAGGCCTTCTTCGTGCCACTCGACTCTCCTCTTTCCCTGATACTTCTTTTAATCAAGGGCACTTCTTCCTCCGCCTTTTTCTTCTCTTCTTCCTCTTCTGCGTCCACGACTTTCATCTTTTTTCTCTCCTCTTTCTTTACCCTTTCCAACTCTTCCTCTAACTTCTTTCTTTTTGCGGCCTGCTGCTGCATTAAGGCCAACTTTTTGGCCTGCTTCACCACCTCCCTCTTCTCCTTCTTGGCCTTCTGCTCGGCCAAGATCTTCGCAGCCTCCTCCTCTTGTTCCGGAGTATAGGGAGTGATGGTAGTACCACCCTGAGGCTCTACTCTGCACGTGAACGTGTTCCAGAACCCCAGGGGGAAGAGAAGACGCCAAAAGGTCCCCCACAGAAGCGGCGATTGCCGCGGAGCTCGGACACACGGCTACCAAGAGAGAGGCAGGTGAAGTGAAGGAGAAAGAAGAAGGGACGAAGGAGAGAGAAACCATAGCCGAGGAAGAAGAAAGGAGGGACAACGAAAGTAAAGGAAGCCATAGCCGGGGGTGAAGAAAGAAAGAAAGAGAGAAAGAAGGAAGGATGGAGAAGAAGGAAAAGGAAGGTTGGTGAGGAAGCAAGGTGCCGACAGCCATAGCCGAGTTGAGGGTTGACCAAGGTGTTGACCAAAGGGTTGACCAATGTTGACCAAAGGGTTGACCAATGTTGACCAAAGGGTTGACCAATGTTGACCAAGACTTTGACCGGAGAGTTGACCGGCGAGTTGACTGGCGTTGACCAAGGTGTTGATCGTCGAGTTGACCGAGCGTTGACCAGCGTTGACCGGGGCTGCTGACCACGAAATTGACCAAGCTGGAGTTGGTATATTCTCGCCAAGCCTTCAGCCTATCCCCTCGCCCTATGGATGTGCACTCACCCCATGGTACTTATTGAGTCTGTCTGTCTCTTCTTTCTGCATTGAGTCTCTTCTGTCTAGGTGATAGGAACTCCGTTTATGAAGGATAGAGCCTTGTTGACCAAACCCACACGGGCTGAGTAGGGCTAAAGGTTATGTCTCACGACTCGATTATCCCGGAGGACACGAACCCTCCCAAGGACCGGTACTGACCGGCGGGCTGCTCGGTGTGGCACGGCAGGCCCAAAATCCGAGCTGTGGGCTGCATAACAGGCTGTCTAAGTCTTGAGAGGACTTGCTGATCGCGTCGTCCTGTCTGCGATGTTAAATAATTCCTGAGGAGTTACCGGGGATCTCCTTAAATGCCTCTTGATCAGCAATAAGTCCTGTAGTGACAGCCACAGAGGTAGGTCTAGGCTAGCGACCATACTTGACAGGGTTCCGAACCGGAGAGAAAGCCAGGTGGGATTGACCGCAGGTGCTGGGCACCTGGGTCTGGATTGTAAAGGACAGTGGTGGCGAAAGCTTCTGTCGGTTGTGGTAACCTGGCTGGATCGAAGGGTAAGACCCTGTGGTCCTTAGAGAGTTAGTCAGTCAGTCCAATGGGTAGGTCTAAGTGGTGAAGAGTGGGACTGTCCCTGTCGTGCGCCTAACGCCATGGAGGAATACCCCATGTACGGCTTGCTCGTGGGATTCCGCACAACAATCTTGTATCGCTCCTCTCTCTCTCTCTCTCTCTCTCTCTCTCTCTCTCTCTCTCTCTCTCTCTCTCTCTCTCTCTCTCTCTCTCCCCCCCCCCCCCCTCTCTCTCTCTCTCTCCCTCCCCCCCCCCCCTCTCTCTCTCTCTCTCTCTCTCTCTCTCTCTCTCTCTCTCCCTCCCTCTCTCTCTCTCTCTCCCTCTCTCTCTCTCTCTCTCTCTTTCTTCGTCGTTGTCTTCTGTGCAGGTACACGACGCTTCACGCCGCAGCAGAGCTATGGCAGATTCTTCTTCAATGGTACACCTCAGCTATGGCGCCTGACTGGCGCGCGCCTTCTTCCTTGCTAGCAACGACGATGGCACGTGGGGTAACGGGAACCAGCTCTGATACCAATGCAATCAGACTCACTTTCTTTCCACTTCGCACACATGCAAATAGATGGAGACTCACACTGGCGCAGGGCGCCCACTCAAAGCTTAGAGATATGGAAATCAAGAACACAGTTCAGATGCAAATTCTCTTCAACAAGCTATGGCGCATCAGCGCCTGAACATCCCAACCTTCGTCACTGTGTCCAACCCCACTGTTCACACTCGCTCACTCTGGATCACCCTGAATACCACCACACACATACACTCTGTCTAACTTCCTCCTACAACGGCTATGGCCGCACTACCACTACTGACTATGACTACGATCTCCCTTCAGCCCACTTCGTCTTCGGGCAACCTGCAAACCACCTTCGCACAAGTCGCTGTAGCAGCGCTTCCGCATGGCTCACGCAGCGAATGAATGAATGGCTGAGCGCTGCCTCTTGATTTATACTTCTATAACTCGTTGGTCTGCCCCTTTCCTTCGGCCCATGGTGCACACAGTCCCTCTTGGTACTTGCTGGACTGGACTTGGACTGACTGGACCGGTACTGCTGACTGCATGGGTTTGGACTGCCAACTCGATGCAGTTGCACTGCCGATGTAACGCGGTTGGCTCACCACTTGCCCACTTGCCTCTGACTAAAGGCTCACCACTTGCCCACTTGCCTCTGACTAAACGTGAGACACTTCGACAGGCCACTTCTGGACCTTCCGGAAGTCTGTGGACTTGGCCTTTCGGATACTGTAGCAGCTACGACCTTGACCTTTCAGGACTGTAGCAGCTACGACCTTGACCTTTCAGAACACCTACAACTACGACCTCTACAAAGCTGTGACTCCTAACTGACAGACCTGCAGATCGAACCCCTACTACTACACAGACCTACGACAGACAACAAACAACTACTAAAACACAGGTCACTGGTTCAAAAGCTCGGGTGCCGACTCGATACTGTACACGGGCAAAGTGAGGTCTGGGAATCGAACCTTGGAATCTGCATCTGCCTCTGCAAAGGTGAAAACCGTTTCACTTTCTGGAAACAAAAAAAAAAAGAATTCGACGTTTGGTGGGCAGCTCTGGTAAAGAAAAAAAAAGAAAACAGGAAAAAGGGATGGATTTGTATGCATCATGCTGTGTGACCCCTCGGCCCGTATAATTGCATTCCTAGAGCAGGTCGAGACTGTGTCCTTCTGTTTTGTGAAGTATACGGGTGTGCTGTGTGACTGGGAAGTGCCTTATAATCGGAAATTGGCTCACATATAATTTGCAATTGTACGTGCTAGTGTGAGTATGCCCTGAGAAGGGACAAAAGAATTTGAGGAAAAGGAGATCCTCCTAGATGGTAATACACCTGCCTGCAAAGGTACTGAAGTGGCAGAGTGAACCGAGTGAGGGGGCTGTCGCTAACCCGTTCACCCGGTTCACTGTGTCACGACTCTTTGTTTTCACTGACCCTCTTCGGCGTGCAATGCGAGCAGCTTAACCCCGGGTATAGATGGGCTCCCTAAGGAGTTCTGGGAATCGATGTGGGCAAGTATCTCACAAGACCTCATGGACTATTACCATGTGGTTTGGACCACAGGACAAACAGGGGAATTGGTGGGGCAAGGAGTGTTGACGCTCCTTTACAAGAAAGGGGAAAGCACTAATATCAGAAATTATAGACCTATCACCTTGCTCACAGGGGTCTACAAGATGATGGCTAAAGCACTGGCCAATCGCATGACCCCAGTAATGACGGATATCATACACCCAGACCAAAGTGAATTTGTCCAGAGTAGGAATATCCAGGATAACATCCGCATAGTCAATGAGATGATTAAGCTGACCAGACAGTCAAAAAACAACGTAGCGATCATCTTTATTGACTTTGAAAAAGCATATGATCACGTGGACTGGTCCTGTCTGGAAAAACTCAACTTTGGACCTGGCTTTAGACGGAGGATAAGGATCCTTCACTCGAACGCAACAACCAGGGTCATGGTGAACGACAATTTGGCCCCTCCCATCAACCTCCAGAGATCAGTCAGACAGGGAGACCCCATAGTCCCATATCTCTTTGTAATAGTTATGGAGGCATTAGCAGCCAATCCGAGGACCCATAAGGATATCAAAAGAATCCAAGTGTCAGCAATACCCAAGGTGGCAATCCCAATCTGCTCATTGTTTGCGAACGACCTGACTCTGATGGTAGACGCATCTAGAGAATCAATGGATGAAGTATGATATATGATGGATCAATTTTGCAAACTGTCAAATATGAAAGTCAACTGGGGAAATAAAACCCAAGGATGGTGGATCCACCAATAAGCGGTGAGACCCCCAGAACAACCCAGATTCAAATGGCTCCCCAAGGAGTGTTGGGTATCTCGATGACGGCAGAAGGCATACCATCCACCAACAATGAATGGATCTTTAGTCCGCCTTTGGCAAAAATGACACTTTGGAAGGACAAACACACCCCACTGTTTGGACGCTCCCTGATAATCAACAACGTGGTGCTGGCTTCGTTGTGGTACAAATCGGCAATCTGGGCATTAAACAAGAATGCCTTACGTCCCCTGCAACGTTAGATAGTCGCCTTTTTGTGGAGGAGCGACCACGAGAAACTAAATGTGATCAATCGAGTAGCATGGCAATCTATAATCCAACCAGAAGAAAAGGAGGCCTAGGTATCATTGACCCCTCAACGCAGATTAAAGCGCTGGCGATACAATGGATCAAACGCCTGCTTTTCAGCCCGGAATCCCCCTGGAGAAGTTTAGCTCTAGAACAAATATCCCGATTAGCACCCCAAACACTGGAAGGGAGTGACCCGCTAATGTGGTTGGAGAACAGGGGATGGTCCATCCCAAGAACAAGACCGATACAATGGGACCCCATCTTTGACACCCCCAGACAAGCAACAAGGGCTGACCTACGAAAGGATTCCTTCTAGCCCTCCCTCCTCAGAACATGGAGAAGCCTCCCCCTGCCGGACAAAACCCCGCCAGATAGATGAGAAGAGGTAGCACGACAACCTTTCTTTGGCAACAGATGGGTGGTGTACTCAAAAGGCCAGACTCTCCATTGCATGGACTCCCCCTGACAGGGTTGGATCAAATGAGGGATAACAAGGGTAATGGACATATGAGATACATAGAAGAAAGATTGGATAGGTCCTGACCAGCTACGGGAGAAACTGAGGTACTGCCACCGTCCACATGAAGCTTTGGAAGCGATAGCGAAAAAGTTCCCCCTAGCCTGGTAGAAACCCTACAAGAGTCGGACTGGGTGGCTTTTCGGGAGCGGCAAGGAGCAGTGGGCAACATAGTCTACTGCATACCCGAAGGAACAGTGGTAGTGAGTCTCTTCCAAGTAGGACGGGACAGCATAATCCAAAGGAGTACCCTGAAAGAAACGATAATATGTCAAAAAGAGGATTTATTCAGAATCACAGTACTCAGTGAAAAAAAGCAATGGATAGCCGACCTTCCCAGTACTCCAGTCCAGCACCTAGCCGAGGCTAGCCCTAGATCCGTCGGAATGGACTTGGACGACCCAAACGGGGAGGGGCAGGAGAAACACTAAATCATTACATGGCCCAACAGTCAAGTCAACGTACAAGCTGTTAAGACCAACAACAAACCTTCGAGACCAGGTAGAGGAGCATTGGAGGAGTCACCTGAATGTCAGTAAAGAGGATCTAAAACCAATAAGGTGGTTTAGGATGGCCAAAGCAAAACCGGCCAAAATTGCCTCACTTCAATGACAACTTGAACACCGCTGCCTACCAACCAATAACTGGTTGATAGACAAAACGTCCTTGGAACAGAGAGGGCGGGCTCTCCCCTGGTGTAAGTTGTGCATTAACGCGTTCCCGTTTAGGAAATGTGCGAAAACAATTGAACACATATTCCTTCAGTGCCATGGTGCACTCTGGCTGTGGAGATGGTGGGATAGAGTTTGGGAGCAACTAGGAACGAAGGTCCCATGGCCTTGGGACTGGAAGGCGTTACTGTGTGAAGTCTGGCCCTTGACATACCAACTCGATGAATTCATTGATAACATGTTCAA